CAGTAGCTATCAAAAGAGTCCCTTTCGATATAGTAAAGTATATTTTTCAGCTAAATACTGCAGGATGAAACCCATGACCTAAGGATGAGTGGTCCCTTCTAAATCCTGCTTGCTCCTCAGCAAGGACAATTTCACTTTGGATCCAACCCAATATTTTTAAATAAATGTATTTTGCATACAGCTTGCTTAATAAGCAAGCTAATAGGTCTTTAATTAGCAAGGTCAGGTCTATTTCCATTATCCTTGCAGAATGGGGTGACAATGGTCGCATTCCACTCAGAGAGAAAACATGTTGTGTTGTGAATGACATAATTTCCAAGAGGTTTTCCAGATTTCAGTTGTGTAGTAAGATCCTTCGTTATGGCTAATTGGGAGGTACTTAACAATGGGGATTTCCAGGGGGTTATTTAGTAGTTCTAAGTAGAAAGTTATTTGAAATTAATTCTCCAAATATCTGCAGATATTTGACAGACAGGACATGTGCCTCTACTCATAAGAGAGCAGTTAACCAGGCACCAGAACACCAAGCTTCTAGGCCTTTTGGCTAAAAACAGGTGTGCTATTTGTTGCTAAGAGGATTTGTATCAGAGCTATGATTTTTATCCACTTTTGAGTGACTATATAGATACTATGTTTTTCTAGTCTTTCTATTTTACACTTTTTCATTAGCTTTTTTTTTTTGGTCACCACTGCTTGCTATAATGTCTCGTATAACAGAAGTCCAAAGCTATGGGGTTACTGACCCTGATCCATTAAGGAGATGATGTGACAACCATATTCTTGATGTATAATATCAGTTTGTGGTATCTGTGAACTATGAGACACATCCTCCTTTATGAGACACAAATTGGCCATCAATAGACAGATAGATATAAACAACATGTACATACTGTGTAAAAGAGGGAATCAACAAGCCAAAAAGAGAACAAAACGACCAAAACACCTCACTACCAGCAATCAAAACTTAGATGAGTATAGATAAACATCAAGATTAATATCAGACCAATGATCACGAAGTAAACAATACCGCAATCAAGGAGTTGCAAAAGAAGCTATGAGGGCAAGCCACTAGACTAGAATATAAACTGAGAGCAAACCCCACTCCCTATTAGCATGTTACCTAGTTTGGTAATGAAATGTCTGCAAGAAAACAACCAAGTTCGGAGTGCACCAAAGACTCCTCACACATCTTCCCATTTGCCATTTGTTGCCAGCAACTAGACTGTTATCTTCATATGTTGATGCTATAGGTTGATCCTTGTTAGAGCTGTAATAAGAGTCGCCTGAACCGTGAGATGGGAAGCAAATTTGATAAATAAATAAAAAAATAAAGTAACCAAAATGTTACTTATAAAGAGGAGAATTAGCGAGACACCAGAAATGCACAGTTTGATAAAACAAAAGACTTGGGCTATAAACTGCACACACACACACATATAAATGAGAATCAAGTAACTTAACTCCATCATCCTTTTCTGATTCAAGGAATTTTGCCTAGATTATTATCTGACAATGCTTGGGAAGATCTATGCAACAGAAACTGAGAGTTAAAAGCAGCAGTTCATTGATCCAAACCATAAAATTATGGCTTTAGAAGATTATGAATAATCAGCAGCCATATTGATAGTTATGTCATGTTAACATAATCACCCAACAGAAGACAAATTCTTGATGGAAAGGCATTTAAAATGTCATATTCTACTGTGCAAAGTAATAATTACAGTCTGTTGCTCCTTCTTGCAATAGTAATTAACTGCTAAAATGAATTGTTTAATCAGTCTGCAGAAGTTGTTTATTCCAATATTGCAGTGCCAAAGAGTCTCTCATGAATATGTATAGACAATATTTGCTTTGCTTGCCAGTCTATCTCCAGTCCTCAGTCCTCCAAATCACAGACATTTTTAATATAAGACAAGCAACATTTTGTTAAGGCAGCGTGTGCAAAGTATGCTTTGAGCTGCTAGCATTCCAGAACTGGCAAAGAAATACATCTGTTCATGTAAATCAACACAAGTGCAGCAAAGGAATTTAGAAAGAACTCACATTACATTTAAAATACCACATTAAAAACAAACAAGGGTTTATTGCAGCCCTGGATTATTGATTCTAGCAATATATTTGCCACTCAAGAGAAATATTATCAATATAAAGAATGTGAAAAGAGGATATTACTCTTTCTCAATAATTCTGAATTATTATCTAGTAATATATTATGATTCTTCTATCTATTCATGGGGGGCACATTTCACATTTAATAGCAAATATGCTCCTTTTCTATGATGAATATGCATGATTACTAGCTCCCAACAGTGTTCTCAAACCCATTCCTGAAGTAATGATTATGTAATTGTAGGGCTACAGGCTATTCATTTCTTGCGCTCCAATCCACTTAAATTCTGCTAGGTCCTTTTCAATAAACTGTTTGCTATAGGCCTTGCAGCTTTAGGAATCAAGGAAAGACTTCATTTTATATAACCTTAAAGAAGATCCTACTTCTTTGATACTGTCAAAAAAACCTCGCAGATATGTCCATAAAGTCATCAGGATTAAGCAAAACTTAAGCTTTCATGGTTAAAAAGAATTAAAGAACTTGATCAAGATGGATCAGCTTGGGGATAAAATAATAACCAATGAATAAAACATACAACAGCCTCTTTAAATCAATGGACTTAATTTTACTTAATTTTGATCAGTCTTTCCCAATGAAATTAATTCTATTTGGAGTTAGAAATCCTCAGATTCCAAAGGCAGCGTAGCTGAACTCATTTTGAAGTTGAAGAAAGCTGTATTAGACTGATAAATCAAGCAGGCAATGAAACACTTCATCTTCTAAGGCAAAAACATATTTTGGAACACACAGAGAAACACCTATCTGCAACTCCTTAAACTAAATACATATTTTGTGGGACCACAGTGAATTTTAAAACCAGAGACATGCGCCCCTAATATCAAATGATATATATGCATGCATGCATGGATGCAAAATAGTTCAACTATGAATATATTTTTTTAGAAAAGCATTTTTATTACTTAGGAGGGCCATGTAGCATAAAATAACATTCCTGTTATTTATTCTTTGGGTCCATGTCAAGAATTGTGCTATTTTCTCTTTTGAAAATGCTTCCTGGAGTATATAGGTAGTCTTCATTTAGCAACTACAACTGGGATTACAAGTTGGTCATTAAGCAAAGAGGTTGCTATGTGAAACCATCACTATGCTTATATTTATACTTCAGCTTTTCTTTGTTTTACAGACCTGTGAAAATTATAAATGTAGTCATAAAATTACTTTTTCATAACTGTGAATGGTGCCTGGTACAATAACTGCAAAGAGTCAATAAACAAGGACTACTTACATAAGATGTGGACACCATTCATATAAATTTGAGTCAACTTGATTAGAATGCTTGATTGCATCATAGCAATAGCACTTAGACCTATATACCGTTTCAGTGCTTTACAGCCCTCTCTATATGGTTTACAGAATCAGCCTATTGCCCCCAACAATCTGGATCCTCATTTTACCGACCTTGGAAAGATGGAAGGCTGAGTCAACCTTGAGCCAGTGAGAACCGAACTGGCAAACTGCTGGCAATTGGCAGTCAGCAAAATTAGCTTGCAATACTGCATTCTAACCACTGTACCACCATGGCTCTCAGGTTGTAATATCAAGCACTGTGTCCAATTTGAAAACACCAGATGATACTTCAGGGCCAAAGGATGCATTATTTTAACAAGTGAAGGGATTTTTTAAGGGAGTATGTACCGGGAAAAATCATAATTCAATGCATGGCTGTTTTGAATGTGAAATAAGTTTAACCAATCTGCATCCACTCTTCTTTTCAGCCGAATACTAAAGAGTAATTCCCGAGCGCCCACCTGTCAGTATTTCAAAGATGATAGTTTACAATTCACAGGTGTGTTGCTTTTTTAGTGGCAAATTATCAAAGGTGACTTTTGTTTTGCACCTGCTAACTAAATACTTATATGTTTTTAGTTTCTGAAGTTAATTTTTGCCTTGCTAATATTTTATGTTTAAAAAATGCTAGTTGTTGATAGCTGTTGTTCCCTTGGTGAAGTACTATTACTGTTTTAGAACTGTAACTTGTAATACAGCAATTCAATACTCAAATCCAACCTAAAAGGCAAAAATAATCAACCACAGTCCTCACACTGATACAGTTGAAGCCAAGAGCTTTAGTAAAAATGGTCTTGTGTGTAGCTCTGCAGCAAAGAAGCAATTAAACCCCAAATATATCATTTTGAGTTCATCCAAAATCCTTTTTAGATTATAAAGATACAGGCCTTATTCAGACACCCTGCTTGCTGTGGCATAGATGGCCCACCAACTATTTGTTAAGGACATGAATGCATGATGTTCTTATTATGACTCTGGCCCACCAGGATGGTGCCTCAATCTGCTCCACTTTTAAAGTGGCTTTCCTGTTTCTGCCAGCACAAACTGTGCCAAGTGATCAGTCTGCAGTTCAATTTGGAGGAATTTTAGAGGAAAATGCTGGCCCAGCTGTGAGATGCAAGCTAAGGCTATCACAGATATGTCCAACTCCGTCCTCGGCTACTTATTGCCAGGAGTATTTAATCCTAGTTATCTCTTATCAGCAAATACTGGTATGTCTTCCTGTCCCTTCCCCTTAGTTTTAGTGCTTGATCCAGACCACTGGACATGTGTGTAAAACAGTGCCAAAGTTGTGGGAGATTGGGCAGATGTACCATGGTTTGGCTGGCAGAACATCTGAGGCTGACAGCCAGCAGCCCAGCAGAGAAGCTGTCAGCATCCCCAGAGTCAAAACAGATTGGAGTGACCTATACTTTTCACAGATCCAAATACTGTTGCATCAAATTAAACTTGCTGTCATTGATTGACTAGGTTTGGATATCATAGCAAAGCAAAATGGAACCGGTTGGGTATTACAGGTAATTCTTGTTTAATTAACATGTACTTGTACACCCACACGCCAATGCACACATACAAATATTACCTTGGACCCTAGAATCTTTTTCCAAAGCTGCCACATTTTTTGGCTCTTCCTGAGTTGCAACTGCATCTTTCAAAACAGCAGTGCTTTCTACACTTGAAGAAATTACATCCGGAAGTACAGGAGCGGGGAATAGTTTTTCCAGGACTTTCTTCTGGAACACTAAAAAGGTAATAATAGAATAAAGAAGTTAAAGTCTTGATAAAGCAAAAAAAAAAAAAAAACTTAAGGCATTCCAGCTTCCTATGTCAAAAGCCTTCTTTAAGCAAGGAGCATACATTCTTATGCAGGAGAACTCAAAAGTGGAAAATATAACATAGCAAGACATAGGAATTAGGACAGCAGTGGCTTTATTTACCCTGTTTCCCCCAAAATAAGACATCCCCTGATAATAAGCCCAATAGGGCTTTTGAGTGCATGGCAATAAAGCCAAGCGCTTATTTCAGGGTTCAAAAAAATATAAGACAGGGACTTATTTTTGGGGAAACACGGTGTTTGTTTGTTTAATTCCACCCTTGTTTTATAAGTAACTCAAGGTGACAAACATACCTAATCCTCCTTCTATCTCCTATTTCCACCATGACAAAAACCATGTGAGGTGGGTTGGGCTGAGGGAGATTAACTGGTCCAAGGTCACCCAGCAGGCTTTCATGCTTAAGATGGAACTACAATGCAGTCTCCTGGTTTTTAGACTGGCACCTTAAAACCACGCTAGCTCCCTGGTTCCCGAACTGTGGACTACAGATATTGGAGGATGAGGGTGATGGTGACAACTATTACAAAGTATGCACTGAAACCACTTCTCAACCAAACAAAAACATAAATATCTTGGGGAAGATGATCATGTCATAAAATAAGTCTTTCTCGTTTTCAATTCTTTTACATTTTTTTTTTTAAATTAAGGGTGTGGCTAGGAAAAAAATGAACAGAAGGAAAAGTCTTGCCACCATCCTTTTGAACAATTTTAGCAGGTTGTCAGAAGGATTCCGCCCTAAACATTTGTTATGTAAATAGATATATATCTGATCCTTGTTTTTTAAGCTGCATATGCATGCTGTTGTGATTAATAAAATACAAACCCATTTAAAAGCATTACTCACAACTATTAGGTTTTTGTCACATTATATTTTGTCAACGTAGAACTACTGTCATGTTTGCCAAATCTGCCAAATTTCTTAATATATAAAGGGGTCTTTGTGTCCCTTGGGTACCGAATCCTGGAATACAGGATCTCTGTTAAATGGAACAGGCCCCAAGACACCTTTCCCTAATCTCCTAGATCTATAGGTCCCAGTTTCAGCAAACCTGGAGGCCCACAACTGGGGAAGGTTACTTTTCAGGCCATAAAATTATTGGACTAAGACCAAGAAAAGTCCAATTTCAAATTCACCTGAGCTATGGAAGTTCATTAGAGGACCTGGGGCCAATCAATCTCTATCTTTTGGACAAGAAGAATTGGAAGAAGAACTACATACGTCACTTGAAGCTCTTGGAAGAAATGCAATCTAACAAACTTTACTTATAGTTTCATTAAAAGTATCTTAAAAGTATCTTAATTTGTGCTGGAGGGTGAGCTGTGTATTTTTTCCCCCTACATATGTCAATTAAAGAGCCAGCCAATCTTTCTATGACTTGGTTCTGTGAACTAAAGTATCCAGTGTCACTCCAAAGAAAACTATGATCGATCTGTTCCTGAGAAGAAGCACTTCTCCCATTTTCAATTACAATACATTTTGTCTGCTCTGAGCCAAAAAACAGATCAACATGGACTTCTGTGGATAGGACCATGGTTGTTAGAGCAACCATGAACTTCTGGGCAGCTCCAACCCCAGCCCCAAGGGAAAATAAGTTGAAGTCTCCTAACACTAGTGGTCCTGGAAATTCTCTAGCCCTAACTAAAGCAGTCCTTGCAAGGATGTCACTGTGAAGCAGAGGAAGACATATACAATATGAGCTAAGAGCCACAGCTGGTTGGAGATATCAACCCTTCTTTCCCCAAATGTAGCATATTGTCAATCTCCCACCAAATTAAGGCTCAATGTAATTAATATGTTGTTAATTACATTCTAAAAATATGGAATTTGCCTAGTTATAAGGAGCTCTGGATATACTGCATCTGGAACTTTTAAAAATGGTGATCTCATATTCTTGGAATGGTGCGATTACTACAGCTTAGATAATGGTCTGCATTCATAAGGTCTAGATTTAACTGGTGATTTAAAAATTATACTGCAGTGATTTAGAGTATATGTTATTACTCTGATGCTATAAAAATTAATGGTTTTTTTTTAAAAACATTAACCTTTAGACTAATTTTTTTTTAAAAAAATTAATACAATTACTTCCCTTTTTAATTGTCCCCCTAATATTTTTCTTCTCCTTTTCAATACTGAATTAAATGAAATTTATTGTTTTCTTCTTCACCATTATTGCTGGAATTGGTTTAAAATTAAAAATAGTTCCCCCCCCCAAAAAAACAACAACAACCCATAAGCAGTGATCAATACAGTGATTTAAGTTGTGATCATTTTAAGTGTTTCTTTTTTGATACAAAGATTCATCCCAGAGGAAGCACAAGCTGTTTTAGACCAGGCTGATTCACTACTGATCACTGATTTTATTGATTTCAAGGCAGCTATTCATTCAGTATCACACAGTTTATTATGGCCCAAGTTGAGTAACTCAATGATCGACAAACTCTTACTCCTATAGCAGCTAAACTGCATGACAGATCATTCCTACAGAGGAAATACCATCAAGTAGATCTCCTTTCCTTTAGACACGTCCCTCTGAACTACATAGTAGCCTCAACTCTGTTCCACATTTATTAATTATTTAATCCACCAATTAAAAACCATGTGCTCTAAATGGGCAAACAAGCATTTCCCACTTATTCTATCGGGAGATAATGTCATTATTCTACCTCTGACATGGCAGGCTCTAAAGAACCATTAGTAGTCTGATTCAACAGTGTCAAGATGAACAACTGATAATTTGTTATTAAAAAACCCAAGACAACTAAAAGACAACATCCCACAGGTGCATTACTGTATGAAGATTTGTCCTCATGAACACATTCAAATAAACACTTTGCCGTTGTATTTAAACAGTTTGTGGTTGGGTCTCATATCATGACCACATCACTAATTAAAGACACTAGAAAGATCAAATTTAGAACACCGATCAAGAACTGTGAATGAACATCAAATGCATATTGTTGGCCATACCTTATGTATGCCTGAAGACCGGCATCCAAAAATTGTGGTGCAGTACGGTAAAAATTGCACTATGCACTAATATCTCTTGGAGGAAAGAGAAAACAAGGCCGGCCTCAGAAAACTTGGCATCAAACACTTAAGAAAGATTTTAAGATTATTTGGCAATGCCAAAGATGCTGCGAATGGTCAAAACTGCTGGAAACAACTGTAGCTTTACAATCTTTCTATCTACTTCTCCAATGGCGTTCAGAATCTACCCATAGTGCTTAGTCTTCTCAACTAGAAACTTCCCTTTGGAGTCCAACTGGGGCCTTACAGGTCATTTCTTCCCCTTGAAAGAGTTCAGTCTAAGTATTTGAGATCTATCTTCCCAGTATCCTGCTGCATTCCAAATGTTGTACACTGCCATGAAGCTGGCTTACCCAAAATAGAAACTTCCACTTGGATTCACATCCTTTCATATTGGCCTAAGCTTCTTCTTTCTCCAGCTGATTTGACCCTTTAATTATGACTGACAATTTTCAGTCTCTCTGGTGTAGGGAAATATATGAAAACTTAAAATTTAATAGTTTCTCAGGGGCAGTCATCACACCCTGCTGAGCTATGAATCTGTGCTAGCTGATCTTAAACAACATGCCATTGACTCAAAGCCATAATCAGTCTTACCTAAAAACAACTTTTTGAGACACTCTGTTTTTTTACTTCCCCCAGCCAGATATCACTGTTATTTCCCCCAGCCAGATATCACAGTTGCATAATGACCCCCAAATTCAGAAAGAATTTGTCCTTGGCTGGATGCAATGCTCTTGCAATAGGTACTGGGGGGAAAAAATGAGATCCCGAAACTTCTCATCCAAGAAGCTTCTTGGATAAGAAGAGAAACATCTTCAAGAAAAAACAGCAAAAGTCCAGTTGCCTCTTGAAAAAACATCTTTGGGACAACCATAACCTAGATGGCTGAGAATCTCCATAGAAACCACAAATTACTATCTTTGTTCATCACCAAATATTCCGGCCTCAAGTTGTTGGTTACTATCATGCTAATCTGATTCTACTTCAATGATTACAGCTAAACACTGTTCCATAGTTTGTACAATTTGCCATCATTTATTTTCAAGCATCTCCTAGGTATTCTGTTTGGAAACATTTCAAATGCAGCTATTTGGTTTCTACTGTTTATTAATGTTTTATGTTCTTACTGTCAATTGAATCTTATTTCTGTCTTAATTTAATTAGCTGCCAGAATTGTTTTAACAATATAAATAGTCACTATAATTGGACTCTTTAACTTTTAGTTTTTAAACCATAATCACTCTTTATGCATTATTCTTCTGCATATATTAATCACTACATTTTTTTCAAGAAATGTTAATTACGACTTTTCCATAGCTTTTAGTGTAATTAGAATCTAAATAGATCAAATTGGTAATTTTACTGTTTTGTTATTTGTTGTCATACATAAATTGTATCATACTACTGTATTATGTTTTACAGTTCCAAACTCTTAAACATTTAACTTACAATTTTACTTATACTGTGATATGATTTTAAAGTTTATTTTACTCTAATCCATTATCGTTCTTTTGTTTGGTTTTACTGGCCATTGACCTTTAAAATAAAACTACAATCTAGGTTTTCCAGAACTGTATTTGCCACTGCCAGGTGTATTGCTAACATTGGCCTTAGAATCCAGGATAGAAAACAGAATTTAGATAGCAGAAACTTAACTAGATTCTATATATGCTGTCCCATCTCATTTGAACAGTAATCTCCAATCCAGCTGGAAAAAGACCTGCTCTAGAAACTAACATCTTGTGACTATTCCCAACTGGGCATTAAATAGGGATCAGGTCAAAGATCACACAATGGTTCCTGAATTTAGAGCTGCAGTCCAATCTACACTAGCTATCTATTTTCTCCTGATTATATTTGATGGGAGAGTTA